CACCACACACACACAGTACACACCTCACAGTGCATGGTACACACCACGCACACAGCACACGGTTCACACCACGCACAGTGCACACCACACACAGCACACAGTGCACACCACACACAGCACACAGTGCACACCACACACAGTACACACCTCACACACAGCGCACGGTGCACACCACACACGCACACAGCACACAGTGCACACCACACACAGCACACAGTGCACACCACACATAGTACACACCTCACACAGAGCACACAGTGCACACCACACACACACAGAGCACACAGTGCACACCACACACAGTACACACCTCACAGACAGTGCACAGTGCACACCACACACACAGTGCATGGTGCACACCACACAGCGCACGGTGCACGCCACACACACAGTATACACACAACACACACAATATACACACAGGCACAACACATACAATACACAATGTGCACACAACACAGGCACACACATGCACACATGCAACACGCACACATGCAACACGTGTGTATGTACCCACATGCATGCCCGTGCACAGACATGTGCACACATGAACGCACACACAGGCACACGCTCTCTGCATTCCTGTTCCCTTCATGCTCTGCAGGGCCCAGCGATGCATTCCAGGTTCTCCCTGCTCACATCGCATCTGCCACAGCTGTCTGGAGCAGGGGTGTGAGTGAGGGGAAGCCGCGTCACGACGCTGTGCGGCTGGAAGTCTTCACACACGTCTCATGAGCAAGAACAGACCATGTTGTGGGGGTGTCCTAGGAGGGGACCTGGGCAGGTTCCTCTGTGGCAGGTGACAGAGCCTTTTCCCACCCAGGCAGATCCTGGTTCCCGCAGGTGTGTGCAGGCCCTGCCCGCACGCCGAGGCCTCCAAACCCTCAGGGCTCGGTGGCCAAGCTCCATTCGTTTCTGTGTAGTGTTGTACAGTTTTGGAGCTGGAAGGGACCGTCTGGTCACTCCACCTCTGTCCCTCATTGCCGAGGTGAGGAGCCAGGCTCCTGAAGAAAATGACCCACCCCAGGCCTACGGCTGGTCGTGGAGCCGTGCGGCAGGACACGCAGCACCTACCAGCACCTGTCACGGACTTGCCAGGCTGACGGAGTTCCTTCCTAAGACAGTGGCTCCGTCCAAACTAGAGGTGCAACCAAATCTAAATACAGCACCATAATGATGATGAAATCATCCAGAATAAGATCAGATGGGTTGATGGCCTATTTACTTCAGTTATTTTACTACGCTGTGTCTCAATGTCACAAAAATATTTGGACCAAACCTTGAATTCAGTAACAGCCAATAATGATAGTTTCCTTACCATTCCGTAAAGGAACTTACAGGAAAATTGCCAAAAAGATACAGGATAGAATATATGAATATATAGGAGGACAGAGGGCCTGTGTTAATATGGTTAAGACAAGATCTCTGACCCATAAATAATAGATGCTGTCGGAATGACGAGCCTTACGTTTAAGTAGAGAGAACACGACGACAGGGCCCTGGCCAGGGGCCACATGCTCAATAGAAATTGCTAGTAGATTTCATCGAACACAGTGATGTACCTGTGAGCACCCCCGGCACAGCGGTGCCCTGGGACCTCCCAGCCCTGCTTGCCTGCACCTGGCGGACAACTCACCAGGGCCCCTGCTCACGGCCAACCCCTGGACACACATCCTGCCGCCTGCTCATTCAGTGAGCACCTGCTGTATGCTGGGTGCTGTGCTAGGCGCTGGGGTAGACAAACAACAGTCAAACAGTGCTGTGAGTAAATACATAATTAGAAACTAGCAAAAGTGTGCTGGCAAGCTCCCGGGAGATTGTGGAGGGGGAGGAGCCGGCTGTGCAGGGAGGGGCATGGCCTCGAGACCACAGGACGAGCGCACGTCTGGAGGAGGCTCTGGGTGCCGTGTGCAGGGTCTGACAGTGGTCAGTTCACATGGAAAACAAATCCCTCCAGGTGCGTTGTTTACAAGGAGAAGGAGGTGAGGAGGAAGAGGAGATTTATAGGCGTGTTATAGTTCGGGCTTTAGTGGTGGGTTTCTGGTCCATTTTGAGTTAATTTTTGTGTATGGCATGAGTAGGGTCATAATTTGTCTTGTGTGTCCAGTGGTTTCAGCACCCTTAGAACGGACTGTCTTTATTAATTGACACGCCCTGGAAGGCCTGTGGGCACATCCTCGTGTCGCACACCAGGGACACAGGCGCCCAATGAGAAGAATGTTCTAGGAGACATTTTCACACAGGACAGTGAGCAATGACCTAACCCCATGCAGACGTGCCTGCAAACCGCATGTGTGTGCTGTTGACCCGCTACATGCATTCCTGGCTCAGCCGTCCCTTAGCCAGAGCTCCCTGCCTGTTTTCCCCACTGGCCTCTCGGCCATGCTGAAAAAGATTAGAGACTCCGGACAGAGTCTTTTGTCCTGGGCTCTGTATCTGATACATAATTAAAATCGCTTCCTGTAACGTTTTTTTCCACTAAAAATTAGGGTAAGAGTTAACGTTGTAGTTAATATATATATCATTGAAACTACTGGATAGAAGAGAAACAATTCTATGTGCAAGGTATGTAAGGAAAACAGGATGTGTTTTGGTAAAAAAAAAAGATGAGAAAACAAAGGAATGTGCTTTTTGTTTTTTAAAGAGTGATTTTGCCTAGTTAGATATTTTAAAAATTGTTTAAGTTAAAGGAATATAAAGTATAGTAGATAAAACTAAATGGACAGAAAAATTTGGCAAAGAAAGAAAATGGCAAAAATTATAAAAGATTGTAAGAGGTTTATCAGAGTATTATAGTCAAACAGATTAAAACATCGTCAAATATGAAATGGTGTTTAACTTTCTTCGAGTTATGTTTATATAAATGTGATACGTGTGTTCCAAAATTGTCTGATATTCCTAAAATTCCGGTATGTCTTAGTGTATGTTATCAATAATAATTATGGTTATTATTAGTATGTTAAATTGTTGTCTGCCACAAAAATGACCAAATTTCTGTCAATTTTAACAATGGAAATTCTAAGACATTTTTTGGTCAAAAACAGTCAAAAATCTGTTTTATTTGATTCTTCTCAAAAGCCGTTTTTAACTGGCTCCAGTTCACAATTTATTTCTTCAGGAAAATTTATAGAAAGGCCTCCGACAGGTGCTCTGACAACTTTGGAGATCATACCATTTGGACGACGAAAACTTCCAAGACTTTAATTAAAAAGCTGATGTGTTCGTGAAGATTGCCCAACCAGCCTCAAGCAGAACAAATATTGATTACCTGGGACTGAACTAATTTTTTATTTACGACTTTTGGTTTAAAACATTGCTGATTTTTTTGTGTTTTGTTTTCCAGAAATCAAGAAAAATTTTCCTCATTTTGAGCTATTTATAGCTCCCAACAAATTGATACATTTTTCTGAGCAAAATTTGGAGCACTTATTTTTCTCTCTACTTGATTTCTCCAAAATTTAGAAACTATTTGTGAGTGTTCTTAAATCATGGCAATATAGTTACTTGCGTAACTTCAGTGACAGAATGGAGACACTGGTTATTTCACCAAGGTTTTGACGGGAATGGCGTATTTTCATATATGCCCAGACTACATTGAGGAATAAGATTGACTTTATAGAGGTGATAAAAAGCTCTTTTGGAGAAACGGGCTAGTTCTCTCAAGTTCTCCAAACTTTGTCCTTTACGAGGTTCTAATCTGTGGTTGGTAAAGAATGTCAGTTTCCGATGGGTTTAGGAAACTTAAGCCATTTTGGGACCTCAAGAAAAGAGGAATTTGCCCAATTCATACAAGTATTGCGGACAGTCTGACAAACTCCTGGCTTGACTCGCCTAGAGAGGCTCTTCAAAAAAAAAGATCTAATCTGAGATTCCTCATTTAAAAAGTTCCAACTGCTGGCACAGAGCCTCGGCCTGCAGCGCTAGTCTCTGAATAAACCGTCTTTAAACTAGATTCTGACCCTTTTCATTATTTTAGGTTGACAAGAAAAACTTTTAAATCTAGTGATAGAAGCTTTTATTTAAAAAGAAAATTGAATTGGCAAAAGTGCCTTCAAATGGAAGAGTAACAGAAATAATAAATGTATGTGGATAGAGGTTTTTTTGGTAAACTTCCTAGGAACTGAGAAAGTGAATGATTCTAAGCGACTGGATTAAAAAATCTTTTTGAAATTCAGGTGGTTTGTTTGCTTTCCGTGAAAATCAGGAAAGCCCAATCGAGTTATTAGCTGACAAAAATCAAAAGAGATTAATCATAGATCAGCATGTGATTTTTGGCATTTAACCAAAACACATTCAAGTAACTGAGTGGCGCTGCTGCCCCTCCCTCTCCGCCCCGTCCGGGGTCCCGTGCAGCTTCCACCGTTCCTAACCCTAACCCCCCTAACCCCCCTAACCCTAACTCCCCTAACCCTAACTCTAACCCTCCTAACCTCTGGTGCGCTGACCCGGGGCAGGGGCCTGGGGGACTGAGGGTCCTCCCCGAGGTCCAGACCTCGCGCTCCCTCCGTCCTCCCCTCGTCTTCCCCCTCCCATCCCCTTCCTCCCCCTCCTCTTCCTCTCCCTCCCTCCTCCCTTCGTGCTGCCTTTTTCCTACTCCCACGACCTTCCACCGCGCCCCACCCCCTCTTCCCTTCCCTCCGCCCGCACCAAGGGCCCCGCCCTTCCTTGGCCGCGCGCGCTCGCCGGGGAGGCTGCCGGCCGCTCCCGGGCGCGCAGTGAACGCAGCGCACGCACCCGGCGGGGAGACGGGCTGTGGTGCCGCGCATGCGCATTCCGTGGCGCGCGTCCGGGAACCCGGGCAAGAGCCGAGGCCACGCCCAGAGAGGCGGAGCTAGGAGGGAGGAAGAGTGGGCGGGGCGGATGTGTGGGCAGGGCCCGAGCTCGCGGGGAAGTGACGGGCTTTGGGCGAGGCCCGCACCATCCCGCGCCCCAACTCTCGCGAGAGCGCCCCTTGCTGACGCGCGTGGGGGCGGGGCGCGTCGCGGGCGCCGGCGGGTGTGTTTGAATCTGGTCCGAGCGCGGGAACCGGCGGGCGCGGAGCGCGGGGAGCTCGGCGGTGAGCACCGGGCGCGCCGCCGGCGCTGGGCTCCGAGAGGGCCGGGGAACGGCGGGGCAGCGGGAGGGCCCCTCCGCGGCGGGTCGGTCCCGGCCTCCATCCCCCCGGGCCGCGGTCCTGCCACGGCGGCTGCTCTCGGGCCGGGCGGCGGCGGGTTTCCGCTCTGTGGGAGCGGGTGGCGCCGCTTGCTCCCCGCCCGCCCGGAGAGGGGCCCCGGGCCCCGGACCCTGACGCTGGCCTGGGGGAGGAGGCCCGGACCCCCGACCCTGACCCTAGTGAGGAGCCCCCGGACCCCCGACCCTGACCCTAGTGAAGAGCCCCGGGACCCCCGACCCTGACCCTAGTGAGGATCCCCCGGACCCCCGACCCTGACCCTAGTGAGGAGCCCCGGGACCCCCAACCCTGACGCTGACCCTAGTGAGGAGCCCCGGGACCCCCGATCCTGACGCTGGCCCTAGTGAGGAGCCCCGACCCTGACGCTGGCCCTAGTGAGGAGCCCCGACCCTGACGCTGACCCTAGTGAGGAGCCCCGACCCTGACGCTGACCCTAGTGAGGAGCCCCGACCCTGACGCTGACCCTAGTGAGGAGCCCCGGACCCCCGACCCTGACGCTGACCCTAGTGAGGAGCCCCGGACCCCCGACCCTGACGCTGACCCTAGTGAGGACCCCCGACCCTGACGCTGGCCCTAGTGAGGAGCCCCCGGACCCCCGACCCTGACCCTAGTGAGGAGCCCCCGGACCCTGACCCTGACCCTAGTGAGGAGCCCCGACCCTGACGCTGGCCCTAGTGAGGAGCCCCGACCCTGACGCTGACCCTAGTGAGGAGCCCCGACCCTGACGCTGACCCTAGTGAGGAGCCCCGACCCTGACCCTGACCCTAGTGAGGACCCCCGACCCTGACGCTGGCCCTAGTGAGGAGCCCCGGACCCCGACTGATCTCGGAGGCATCGGCTCCCCAGCCCCTGTTCCGGTTGGTGCCTCTGGTTGTGTCTGAGGAGGGAGTTGGGCGGGGCGGGGTCACAGGTGGGAAAAGGTGACGGGGGCTTCTTTTTGGTGCCCCCCAGATCAGTACCAGACCTCCCGTGTGAAGAGCACCCTGCGGCCGGGACCGGTGACTGGATGGTGAGACGCGCCCGTGTGCTCACGCGGGGTGGAGAACGGCCTCACACAGAGATGGGACAGAAAGACGTGGAAGTTTATCCCACTCGCTTCCTGCAGGGAAGGGGCGCAGCACAGGAGGGGAATGGCAGGGCTCTGGCTCTTTGTCGGGAAGGCTCAGCCGGGGTGCAGGGAGATTGAAGGCTGTAGCCCAGTTAGCAGGGTCGGGTTTTCCTACGGCAGCAGACTGGTAACAGGAGTGGCTGTTTGCTTTTTCCGTTTTTTTCCTTTTCTCTGTGAGGCTGGCTTTATCCGAGTCCTTGGAATATGGTTCTGGCAAGAGCTGGGAGGGGGCTCGTACCCTGCTGTCCACTCAGGGCCCTTCAAGGCCGTGAAAACAAACTCTCAGAGAAGGAGTTCAGTCCCAGGTGTTTAATCAAACAAAACAAAGGGCCCTTGCGCTGTGAGTGTTTGCTTCATGGGGCAGTTATGTGCTGTGAGTTTTTTTCTCTTTCTGTTTGATAGTTCATTTTCCTCTGGTAGATAGCGTATTGGTAAGGCCACCTTTCCCCGTGCCTTGCAAGTAGCATCACGGAACTCCCAGAGAGCACGCACACACGCGTGACACACGGAGACTGAGGCGCAGCCTGCCACTGCTGGGCTACAGACCTGCCGCAGGTGTGACTGCGCTGAGCATCGTAGGCAGTTCTGAGACCACGGTTAAGTGTCTGCGTATCTCAACACTCCTGAACATAGAAAAGGCACCCTGAGAATACGGTATCATCATCCTGTGGGACCACCGTCACATGTGGCCCGTCATTGACCAGAGTGGTGTCATGTGGCGATGGCTGTAGCTCACAGATTGGCTGTTCGAGTGGAGGAATGAGGTGGCTGCACTTCAGTGTTACTTATGTGGGGGTCATTCAACTGACGTTACCCTGTACTTTGTCCAGTTTAGACCTTGGGAGCTAGTATTTCTATATTTAAGGTGACACGCTGTCCCCACAATTATTGCTGGTAATTTTCTATATTGCTCCATTTATAGTGGTGCAGGTGGCTTTTGTTTATTTTTAAAGTGGGAATCTTGTTGTGAATATGTTCCATCACTTGCTGTCACTTCATCTGTGGGTTCCTGTCTTTTGAGTAGGGCACCGCGAGCACCATGTGTTTCCTGGGGAGATGGAGGCAGGGAGGAGGGAGTGTGCAGGTCCCTGAGCTCTCATCACCATGGTGGGAGGAGGGTGCTTGCCTGACACGCAGTCTAACAAGCTCCCCGGTGACCCCGTCTCACTTTGAATAACAAGGTGACTCTTACAGTGGGATTTTTGTGGATGGAGAAATAGCACTTTAGAAAGGGAGAGTCTTTAGAATTTAGCAGCTGGGATCAGACTGGTCTTTTGTTGAACTAACTCAGATCTGCCGGAGCCAGCATCTTACAGAGGTACTAACAGGAGAGAAGGAAAGCTTCCTGGGCCATTTGGATTTCTTTCCCTAGCTGGTAACTTCATTAACAATTGATAATAACGTATCATTGATATTATGTTGATAATATCGCCTATAAAGGAAAGAAGTAAATTACTTGTCAGATACTGTAACTTGTTTTATGTCAGAATATTGTTAGAAACTGTTTGCCATAGGCGGTATAGGAATTTTCTTGTAGTTCTTAGGTGTTAATATCAAATCTTGCAGGAAAAGCTATTTGCAAATGTAAGTTCCAGTATGATTGTGTTTTCCCCCAGGGTCACAAAATAAATCCATTTGAAAAGTTTCATCTGCCATGGAAAAGCGCCAGACATTTGTACAAGTGGTGTCTAAGGAGCTGGTTGGAGAGTTTTTACAATTTATTCAGCATGATGTAAGTTTCATGTTTTATTTACATTTACTGTGATTTTGACTATCAATATAAAATAACATTCTAAAATCATCATGTCTCACTTGAAATGTAGTTATCTCATCGAATCCTAGTGACCAGCGCTTGTTTAAAAAAAAGAAAACAAAACTCTTTGTGTGCAAATCAGCCTGCGGATGCCCCAACCTGAGATGTGCAAGATAAGCAAAAGTTAACCACAGGGGACCTGGGCAAAAACCCCTCTAACCTGGGGGTCACTCTGAAGCCCGAGACGGTGTGTTGTGTGTGAACCAGCAGGCGAGGCTGGGGCGCGGCTCCACCGCCTTTGCTGCTTTAGGGCGTTCAGACTTCATCTTGAGAACACTGAGGGCTTTAGGCAGGGCGTGACCTGTACTCAAGGATGGAAGAGAACAGAAGAGAAGGAAAGAAAAGGAGGAAGGTAAAGAGAGAAAACGAAGGTTTGCCCTGTGGAAATATTCCTCTGGCTGCTTGTGAGTAATCGGTCAGAGGGACCAACACGGCAGCCAGAGAACAGTTTGAGGTTGTTGATTTTGTAGCTGCCTGGCAGCCAGAACTGCCTCAGGAGAACACCACTGAATTAGTCCTCATCCTAAGGGGGCGGTCGTTTTAGTTTGCCAGTAATAAGCTTCATTAACACTTAATAATTCAGCTTAGTGCCTGGTCACTGCGTAGCTCTTAGACGTCAAAGGGGAAGCGGGTAGGGTTGCGCATCGCTTGGTTTCATCAGGTGGAGTGATGCAGAGTGCCACTTGGTGTAAACATGACAGTTTCCCTTGGTCCAGCCTCATGGGAACTTCAGTCAGGTTGAGGCCTGTGGGTGGACCTCTCCAAAAAGAGTTGTGCTCCCAGACGTGCAGTGGGAGCAGTCACTGCGCCTGCAGCGCTGGTGGTGAGAGCCAGGAGGGTGACGAGGACACGGGGCTGGGGCACAGCACTGGAGAATCTCGTCAGTGACACACTGAGAAATGGTAGAAACCAAACAACACAGCTGCACGATTCTGAACATGTTAAGTCGTAGGAAATGCGTAAGTACCGTAATAAGTATGGCACTTTAACTTAATATTTAAATTTCATAGGTAGAAGTGGGTGCCCCTGCTCCCGGGGCACACCTGCCCACCTGTGTGCCAGAGGAAGAGAACAAGAGCTAGAGAAGAAAAGGGCATGTCAGAGAGTGGCGTGCAGCCTGGGGAGGACAGAGTGAAGGGGGCAGGGCCATGGGTCGTGGCTCGTAGGGGTGCAGCATGGTCCGGATGTGGGTGGGCTGAGCTGCCAGACATCGGAGCTGCGTGAGGTGCGTGTGATCCTGGCGGCTCCGCTTAGCAGGTGCAGTTTTCCACACACACCTGGTGTTTCCTCCTTGGAGAATTGCAGCGAGGAGGACACAGCAGAGGAGAACCGGTCCTTTAATGATACCCTGTGTGCCAGGCCCTGCTCTGAGAGTCCCTGCACAGGTGGAGTTCTGTGTCCTGGTGGTGGAGGAAGAAAAACAAGACAAGCGTGTAAGCAGTGAGGCTGGGTGGGAGGGCGGGAGTGGTCGGGGAAAACCTGGAAGAGGGTAGCGTTTGATCGGAGTGGTGCAGTCACACACCGCTTAATGGTGGGGATGCGTTCGGAGAACCTCGGGTTTGCTACTCACCGCGTTTTGCCACTCTTGTGTTTATCTATTTGTGGAGTCACTTGAGAGTCAGTTGCAGGCATTGTGCCTCCACCTCGAATGTTTCAGTGTGTATTTTTCTAAAACAGAGATGTGCTTGTATATCTCGTTAAAATCCTCAAGATCGGAACATTAAACATGAGGGCCGACACCATCATCTGCAGTACACATTCACATTTCTGCAGGTGCCCCAGCAATGTCCTTTTTAGCAACACTTTTTCCTGCTTTGGGATCAGTCTAGGGTCGCGCATTGCGTTTAGCTGTCACGTCTTGTTAGTTGTCTCTGATCTAGCAGAAGGGCTTCTCCACCTTCCTGTGTCTGTCGTGACGCTGACCACTCTGGAGAGTGCAGGCAGCTCTGGCCTGTCCTTCAGTTTGCATCTGTTTGATCTGACTAAAGTCAGAGTGTGCGTCTGGGCAGGAACTGCAAACAGCGTGAGTGTCCTCTGGGTGCGTTGCTGCCAGGCGGGAAGCCCACGGTGTGGTCTGCCCTGGTGGGTGGGTGTCCGTCCATGGGGAGCGGCTGTTTCCCCTTTGTCATTGGTGGGTCATCTGGGGAAGTGAGCTGGCACCGTGCAAACGTTCTGCTCCTCTCGTTTTAGCATCCTTTGATGTTTTGATCATGATGGCTGTAAAGCTGTGATTTTTTAACCCCATATTCCTACTGCATTTCTTCATTGGCATTCTATAGCATGCAAATGCTGTTAATTAATGACTTATTATCATCAGTGGGACCATGTTAATTTATGTGTTGAAGGACGGAGTCTTGCTATGTTGCCTAGGTTGGCCACAAGTTCCTGGACTCCCATGATTCTGTCGCCTCCCCAATACCTGGGACCACAGGTACCTGTGCCACCACACTTGGCTTGGCCTCTCTGCTCCTTATTTCTTTTTTTTTTTTTTGAGACAAAGTCTCACTTTGTTGCCCGGGCTAGAGTGAGTGCCGTGGCATCAGCCTAGCTCACAGCAACCTCAGACTCCTGGGCTCAAGCAATCCTACTGCCTCAGCCTCCCAAGTAGCTGGGACTACAGGCATGTGCCACCATGCCCGGCTAATTTTTTTTCTATATATTTTTAGCTGTCCAATTAATTTCTTTCTATTTTTGGTAGAGACGGGGTCTCGCTCTTGCTCAGGCTGGTCTCGAACTCCTGAGCTCAAACAATTCGCCCACCTCGGCCTCCCAGAGTGCTAGGATTACAGACGTGAGCCACCGCGCCCGGCTTTCTGCTCCTTATTTCATTCAGAAGGTTAGAACCCGTCACTGTCGCTGTTTTGGTCTCAGATTGCCCCAGATTAGGCTATGGGAAGTCCCTTTAACTGGATTCTGTGCTCTTTTCGTAATGGCCTCTGTTTGCTCAGTCTGTCTCTAGCTCATCTGTTCAGAGCGTAGGAAGAGTCGTGAGAGGATTGCTGGGAAGTTCTGAAATCATCTCATTGCCTGGCAGGAGACCATGACGTCTAGGGAGGGTGCTGGGGATCCACGTGGGGCTGGACCCCAGACACTGAGGGTGGAGTCAGTCTGCCTGGCTGTGTTGTTGTTCAGCTCTAGTGTACTTTTGTGACCTAATTACAGGTCTGGAGATGGTGGACATTTGGGTTGCTTTTAGGGAAGGTTTTGCTAATTGGATGAAATTTTAAACTGTGAAGATTAGGATACCAGGGAAGAATAGGAAGAAATTGTCTACTTTCTAACTGTTAATCCGTGTGCTTTTTTCCTTTTAGGAATGAATTTTGAAAACTGCAGCCAAACTCTTGAACTTGTAATGAGATAACACTTAACTTTTTCCATGCCATCATGGAAAGGATATTACTATAACCGTGTTTGTATTTGAAACGCTACACTTGCTGTTTATTTTACAGAAAGATCCCTCCGACACTTTCAGCCTAAATGAATTACTAGATGAGTTATCAAGGAAACAGAAAGAAGAACTATGGCAAAGGCTGAGGAACTTGCTAACAGATGTGCTGTTAGAAAGCCCCGTGGACGGGTGGCAGGTAGTGCGCGTCCCAGGTGAAGACGCCATGGAAACAGA